GGGCCTGTACGGCCCGCACACGGCGGACATGGCGGAGCGCCTCGGGCTCTCCCCGTCGCCCTGCGAGAAGCTCGCGCCCTTCCTCGGCATGCACGTGGAGGAGGGCGTGGACGGCAAGCGCCTCAAGTTCCTGCGGGACGTGCTGGGGGCCAGGATCTGGAGGCTGCACAGAGCCTACCGCTTCGCCTGCAGCCCCTTCATGGCGGGCTTCATGGAGCTCAAGCACAGCGAGCGGAGGCAGCTCAAGACGGCGGGGAGCGTGGTCGCCGAGAAGGTGGTGAAGCTCACCCAGAACGCCATCTTCGGCCGCTGCTGCATGAACCCCGACAAGTTCAGGAACACGAACGCCTACGTGGACCCGGCCAAGTTCGAGCGGGCCGTGGGCAAGAGCTCCGTGACGAACTTCGAGTTCCAGATCAACGACTCGGAGGGGTTCCTGGCCTTCGTGGAGACGCTCAAGACGAACCGCAGCAAGGCCTGCATGAGCGTGCCCACCCAAGTCGGCGCCCGCACGCTGCAGCTCTCCAAGCTCATGATGGAGAAGGCCTACTACCTCCACATGAGGAGGCTCTTCCCGAAGATGAGGCTGCTCTTCACGGACACCGACTCCGTGATGGTGCAGATCTTCGAGCTGCAGGACCCGCTCCACGCCATGGCCGAGGCGAACCTGAACGGCGCCACCCTCTTCGACGTGGCCGGCAAGTCCAAGGACCCCGAGAGGGACCTGAGCGCGCTCTCGGCAGCGGCGCGCGCCAAGGCCATCGAGGTGATGGGGCAGCTGGGCAAGCTCGGCGACGAGACCTTCCCAGCCAGGATCCTCGAGTACGTCGGTTTGCGCTCCAAGATGTACAAGCCGGCGGAGTACTACATTACCCAGCATGTCCTGGCGAGGGAGGCAGGTGAGCCTTTCATGTGTGCGGTCATCCGCAACAAGGCAATCGCTCAGGAGCGGGTTACCGCCGAAGAGTGGAAGAACGCTCATAAAACTGAGTGCATCATGTTCCCACTTGCGATAGCAAGGTGGAACGCGGTCTTGGAGCAAGCCATGCACAATGACTTTATGTACGGGGCTCTTGATGCACTCCGGGTGGCTTGGAGGATTGACCAGGAGTACATCAACCCACCCGATCGGAAGACGGCGCCATGGGCTGATCAGCAGTGGAACATAAGAAAGATGGCGACTGAGGCTGCCCACATCTCGTTAGGGATGAGGCAGGACATTCAGGCGAAGTACCATCATGACGAGCACCGTGGGCGAACGTTAGTGTCCCGAACCGGAGAGCCTATATGACTGTGTTCGGGAAGGTGAGAGCTACCCTCCTAGCTGATGGCGCGACGGCGATGCTGGAGAAACTGCAGAAGTACTTCAACGCGTTGAACGAAGCGGACCTGGGCAAGCGGTTGGGCACTGCGCCTTTCAGCATGATTGCAGACCTTGCTCCGGCGCTGCGGACGGTTCCGACCAGGGAGCAGATGTCGGACACGCGGCATTGTCGCACTTGAAATCTACGGACGATAGGGCGCAGATCATCGGGAGAGATGGCCTACCATTTGGGACGTCATGGTTTCAGGATGATCCTGATGGAGCTACGTGGCCCGGACATCACATGGCAGGCGGTGTTGGTATGGGGAAGACGGCCATATGTTGACGACGAGGATGAGCAGCACCCGGACACACGCGCGTCCTAGGGCACAATCCATCCCCACCAGCGTCCTGACCAGGAGATGCGATGATGCGATTTCCGGCACCCACGCCGGATCATCCAGAGGAATGCACTGGCCTGTCTGTGCGTTCAGGGCCCCGATAGGTGCGCTGGCTCAGGAAAGGGGAAGATGAATCTCTCCCTCTCCCTGACATAGGGAAGCTGTCCATGGCGGAGAAGAAGGACGACATGGACGTGGACAAGGACATCCCAAGGGCGGTTCCTCCGGGATGTTCAAGTCTGGGATGTGTGCACCCAAGCCTCGGGATACTGAGGCTGGGCGAGATGGGGAGGGCGACGACAAGCGTCTTCTTCCCAAGAATACGCCTATCGACATGGAGAAGCCCTTGCCGGCAGAGGCGGCGCTGCTGATCCCTCGAGCAGTGGCCACGCAGGAGGAGACTAAGAAATGCCGAGCGGACAGCGATGGAGGCTATCCGTGGAGACGCCAGGACTCCGGACGTTGGCCAGGAAGACAGGGCATCGGTTGATCCGTTCAGCGTGACGCCCGAGGACCTGACAGCATCGAGTTCCGAATGCGGATGAGGGAGACTTCGCACAGAGCCCCATTGTCCCGGACTGGGTGAGGGGTATGAGACAGTTCAGTCCCAAGAGGATTGCGGCTGACGAGATTCATCAAGAAGAACTTGATCTCTTTCTCAATGGGATCCGACTTGAGGATGACGGCATTCGGTTGCCACCCTACCTTGAGAAGGAGAAGGGCAGTGTCAACGTGGCGTCGGATGAATTGGCGAAGGTGCTCTTCCAGTTCTCCTACGTGTCGGGTATCATGGCGT